CAGCTCTTGGGTAAAAACAATGGAGCTAAATTCATTTCAGGCCATTAGTGTTCCCAGAGGACAGAGAGGCAGAGATAAGGTCTCACAATGCTGCACTTTGTACCAACTCTCTTCTTCCATGTACTGCTACGCCCTTTCATTTAGGTCTTTTCAACGGCCTTGGGAAACATCTTTGTCTGATTTTTCTCCAGCTGGTTTTCTCTTGGCCAAGAACAGATCTTCCTGTGAGTTTTAGGATTACAGGCCTTGGAGAGCCCCAGAGACAGGGCCAGCTCTCAGGATGCAGTGTCTTGGTAACGTGTATTACTCTGCTTTAACTCCAGGCCAGAACACACATTCTTCCAAGACACATTAGGCTGAGCATAGAAATCTGTCTGGGAAAAAGAAACTCCATTTCCACGGGTCCTTATTTTAAGAAAGTAACTTATTAATTATTTGTATAGAACCGTACCTCTATTTAAACATATTAGTTTAAAAAAAGAAAGAAAAAACAATGCGAAACCAGAGAAGAGAGAAACATACTGTGACATGTGACAGACCAGAAAGTATTTGGTACTTTATGTTCTTAATTCAGAGACACTCCCACCCACCCACCCAGCCACCCCGGCTGCTCACCCAGGAGGCCAGGGTCTGTGCTGGGGGTGTCCATGTCTGATCTGGGGCCAAACTGAATCCCTGTCCTCAGCTTTGGATAGCCACACCCTGCACGACCCCAAGAAGACCTTGACTTGCCAGAGGGCCTCCATCTCTGCAAGGATTGTCTCATACATTCAGGGTCTAGGACCAGCAGGCAGAGAGGACTTTCGGGCAATTAATCTTCATTTTGCGTGCAAGACACACAGTTCAGCTCCGAATACGGACCACGTACTCCCACCCCCCCACTTCTTGCTCTCTGAACTACAGCAAAAGAGGCTAATTGTCTAGTCAGGCATGGCCTGAGCTGTCCCAGGAAATGAGGCCCCCAAAGGGAAAGGCTACCCACTCCAGTGTTCTGGCCTGGAGAATTCCAAGGACTGCATAGTCCATGGCGACAGAAAAAGTCAGACACGACTGAGCAACTTTCACTTGCTCATGAACTGCCACAGGAGCCACAATGAGTCAGGGTCAAGTGTACCCCAAAACCTGAGAGCCATCAGGCTCACAGCTCGCTGCCACACCATAAATGCTTTTTGAATGAACAGAATAGAATGGCATGTTCAAGGAAGGTTCAGGGACTTCCCTGGTGGTCTTGTGGCTAAGACCCTGGGCCCCCAGTGCAGGGGGTCCAGGTTCAATCCCCGGTCAGGGAACTAGGTTCCATATACCACAACTAAGACACGGCGCAGCCAAATAAACAAATGATTTTTTTTTTTTTTAATTTTGGCTGTGCAACATGGCATGTGGGATCTTTGTTCCCTAACCAGGGATCAAACTCATACCCCCTGTGTTAGAAGCGCAGTCTTAACTACTGGACCAGCAGGGGAGTTCCATAAATATATATTTTTTTTAAAGAAAGGAGGAAAGAGAGATAAAGAGAATAAGATAAAGAGATATAAGAATAAAGAGATAAAGAGGATAAGAGAAATAAGAATGATAAAGAGAATAAGATAAAGAGAATAAGAATGAAGAAGTCTGACTTGACTGGAAACTAATTTGACCCGGTAAGTGTGCATAAAATCCCCAAAGACAGCGGGGTGGGGGGCCTGCCCTGAACACCTCAGTCTCAGGGTCCTCACTCCCTGCCCCCCATTGGCTCAAGCACTCAGTATGTGCCCCAGTTGTTTCCAGTCCTCCCCTGCTGGGACCTCCCACAGCTATTGTCTCTCTCCCTTGAATCTTCACACATCACCCCACCCCAACATCTTCACTCTCAGCTTTCAAAAGTCTCTAGACCTCCCTCCTCATTCAAAACAAACCTGCCTTCTCTCTCCCATACCCCTCGAGCAACTATTTTTCTCTGCCCTCTTCCCCCTGTTCTCCCCCACACTGACTTTTGCCCCCAGTTCTCCACCTCATTTACCAACAACCCCCTAAAGCAGGTGGTCCCCAACCTCTGAGATCTAATGCCTGATGATCTGAGGTGAAGCTGATATAATAATAACAGAAATAAAGAGCACAATAAATGCAATGTGCTTAAATCATCCCCAAACCATCTCTATTCCCTGCCCCCTGGCCTCCCACCCCCACCCCACCCGCCCTGGACCCGGTCCGTGGAAAAATGATCTTCCACGAAACCAGTCCCTGGTGCCAAAACAGTTTGGGCCACTCCCCTAAAAGACTACATCCAGTATTTTCCAGGGCTCTTCTGACTCGCCAACCTCATCTCTCTGCTAGAAAGATCTCTTCTCTCAGCTGCCTTGACAGTCACCCTCCGGGCTTGTTTACCATCTCTCTGCCTGTCCCTTAAGTGAAGGCATTCTTCTCCTCTGTATTGGGTCCTTTTTCACAATATGCCACCGCATTCCACGTTGGGGCACCTCAAAGCTGCATCTCCAGCCCGGATACTCTCGTGGCTGCTGGGTCCATTGAGTGGACTCCCCACAGGGACCACTACTAGGATAACTCTTGGGGGCCTCAAGTCCACTGCCCCTACTTCAGCTTGCTGGTTATCCCAGCTCAGGAAGGACCCTGACCACCCCCCAGACACTTAAGGCAGACATTCTGGACTCCGCTGAGCAGCACCTTTCCCACCATATTTGGTCCATTTTGGTCCATCCCTGCTGACTGCCTTGGCTCAAGCCCTCTTCATTCCACAGACCCCACTGGGATCCCTGCCTCCAGTCTGGATGCCAGGTTTGACTTAGGGATGCAAGCTGGTGGAAAGGATAGGTGGTGAGGATGTGTTTACCTAGTACTTTAAGTTACTGAAAAGTCATCAGTAATCCCTATCAGAGTAAGACAGAGACAATGAGGATTAACCCTCCACATTCCCCGCCTGTCTCCACCCTGGCCTCACCCCCACCCCTCACCTACTGATCTCTCAGCTTTCAAAGCGGTCTTTCTGTGACACAGATCGCACACGTCCGCTCCTGGATGAAGCACTTTGATAGGTCCCCAAGTTCCCTTTCCCTGCATCTAGGATGTGTGACACCCGAAAGGCCTGGTTCCCTGTTAAACCTCCACACCCCAGAGGGTTCACTCACAAGTGTTCACAATCCCGTGCCTTCACCAGTGCTGTTCCCTCTATCTGAAATGCTCTTCCTCCCCTTCTTCACCTGTATAATGTCTACCTGTCTTTCAAGGAGCATTTGTTCAGGGAAGGTTCCCAATCAATGCCTTTTATTAACCTTGTACTAAGAACATTCTTTGGACTAGTATGATGTAACACAATGATCATTACAAGGTCTCATTTTCAGAAGGGATGTTTCTAATTGCAAACCAGTGATTCATCATCTTTCACACCCATGATCCTCTTATCAACCACTGGGAAAACCGCACCTGAAAAACACTCAAGCTTTGCATCCGTTCACAGCTCCCTGGCCTTCCACCCTGTCCTATGCATATCCCCAGGAAAACCTGTTCTGGAAGACCAGGGAACATTACCCTGGCAGGTGTTCACCATCCCTTCTGCCCCTCCCTCTGTCATTTCCCCCAGATGGTCCAGACATCCACCTGTTCAGAAGACAAACAATTTGGGGAGGAAATGAAATCTCAGAAAGGGGCAGCCACTGGCTGGAGGCTACACTGCAATTCTGGGGGTGGGGGGTTGGCAGTCAGGGTCTGAGGACCTAGGGCTAAGATTTCAGGATTCCCTGGCCTGGCCTCCTTCTGTAACTCCACTGCCTGTGGATCCTGTCCCAAATGCCACACATAATTAGAAGTTTTAATCCTGTAATTCCGTGATGACATCTTTTAACTTAAATACACCTTAAAAAAAAATTTTTTTTTTAATGCTAAAAGCAATTCAACCAAAAAGAAATTTGCCAACTCTGTCCTCACCGGTCCCCAGAATCTTCTCCTGCCCATCCCGGAGGGACAAGGCTGCTCACCAGAGAGCAAACTCCCCGAGGCAGAGTCAAGGGAGGAGGAGGAAGCCGCCCAGAGCGTTTTCACTGGCTCGATCATTAGGCTTGGAACAATTAAGAATTGATTGTTCTGTGGGAAACAGTTTCACTCCCCTGTTTATAATTACGCCCTTTGCCTTGGGTCATAGAAGTTATTAAAAAACAACACACACACACAATTTCTCAACCCACCCAGTCCAGCCTGGCCAAGCCCCAAAGGCTATTTTTAGACTCGCTGGGACAGACAAGGAAGGATGGAAGGTATCCCCGAGACTTCAGGTTCAAAAGCATCTTTGTAGCCCAGGCCGTGCCACCTGCCGGCATCCCAGCGACCCCATTCGGTGGGTTGGGCCTCTTTTGAGGGGCTGAGCTACGAACTGTTAACTTCAGGGAGACAGGCCACCGTATGCACCAAGCTCCCGCGAAGCCGCACTCGCCACAGGTCTCCACAGCAATCGGGTAAATCCGCTTTAGAGTAAAATGGAGAGGGGGCGAGATCGCCGCCCTCAGGTCTGCCGAGCGCAGAGGAGACGAAGCCCGAGGTCCCCTCCCGCCCACTAAAAAGTCCAAGAGGCGTACACTGGAAGCATTCTGGAGGCAAAGAGGGGACGTCAACTCTCCTGAGCGGCTCCACTTCCACGCGCCACGGCCAAGCGCTCGGGTGGAAGCTGGGCTCGCGTCGCCAGCGCTCGAGGAACCGTCCCTTCCCCAAGTGCGCGGGACGGCCGGCGGGGGCGACTCCGAGCCCCTCCTGGCCCAGTCCTCCGCCGGCAACTGCGCGGGGCGGCCCGGACGTTCCCCCCACCCCCAGCCCCGGAAGTCACCTGCTCTCGGCCGCCGGGTGCACCGCCGCCGCACCCCTCACCGCGAGCCTCCTCCGAGCGCGCCCCAGGCCAATGCGCCCCCTCCCCCTCCCGGCCTGACGGACCCCGGCCTCGCGCTCTGCAGCCCCTTCCACAGCCTGGAAGGAAAGAGGCCTGAAGCTCGCGGACTCCCCGCCCGCCCATAGCCGCCCACCTTCCGAAAGTAGCAGTTGCCCTCTTTCTCCAGAGGCTGGGGGGCTGCGGGCAGCAGCGCGTCAGTCATGCTGGCGGCACAGGCGCGCAGAACTGACTGAAGCTCTTCAGCGCGCTAGTCCCAGAGGGCGCCCGGCCCCGCCCCCGCCCCGCCTTCGCGGCCGCCCCCACCTCCAGCCCCGCCTGAGGCCTGGCCTGGAGCCCTGCAGACCTGGCGAGGCCCGCAGAGACCACGCCCCCGGCCCCGCCCCGATCCGGACTGGCAGCGCGCAGCACTAGCCCTTGGCGAAGCTGGCGGAGCTGCAAGCACAAGCCCCTGGGCTCTTCACTAGTCCCCCTCCCAGCCTCAGGGGCTTAATCTGGGCGCGGTTGCAGCCTCAGCCCAGGGGCGCAGGGGCGTCTGCAGCGAGGCCCAGGTTGGGGATTCAGCCTCTTGTCTAGAACCGTGGGCGTAAATGCAGCGCGTGGGTGTAACTAAGGCTCCTGAGCGCACGCTGCGGGGATAGTGACCAGACCCGACACACTTTTCGAGGGCGCGGGGTAGAGCGGGATCCCCCAGGGCCCAATCCGGGACGCTGGGGAGTTGGCTGCCCCACCGAAAGCCTTGGCGGGTAACTCAAACCGATTGGCTCGGTGATCAATCCCCAGTCCCCCAACCCGCGTTGCAGAAACTAGGCAGATCCGCTGGGGGTCGCGGATGGCGGGAAGAGAGAGGTCCACCCAAGGAGAAATCCCCAGAAAAGGTTTCGTGCCCAAGAGATTCGACAACTGCCCTTTTTAACCACCACTTCAAACTTGAGATTCCTCAACTGCAAGATAAGTCCCTATCACTGTCGAGCTGGTCGAAGGTATTGCAACAAAAGTGGTGGATAAGCGCTTAGCTTGCGCAGTAGGAACGCGAATAGTTTAGGAGCGGAAGGAGCTCCTGGCGACAGAGGTCGCATAGCTCTCTCGCCCACCGCCAGCCGATCGCTGGACTGCGGCCCTAGGAGCCTAGCAGACAAGTGAGGAGACTGGGCTGCAGGAGCCGGAAACCCCCCAGCGGGTGGGGCCACGCCCCTCTTGGCGATGTCCTGATGTTCCTACGCCAAAGGACACCTTTGCGCAGTTCCTGCTGCATTTATTTGGCAGTCGCGGTAGGTGCCACGGGTAGAACACAATACAGTTTGCTTTCTTTTTTTTTTTTAATGTATTTATTTATTTGACGGTGTTAGGTCTTGGTTGCAGCATACGGGATCTGTGTTGCAGCATACGGGACCTGTGTTGCCTCATATGGGATCTTGCGTTGTTCAGAGACTCTCCAGCTGTGGTGCATGGGCTTAGTTCCCCCATGACATGTGGGATCTTACTTCCCTGACCAGGGATTGAGCCTGTGTCCCCTGCATTGCAAGGCAGATTCTTAATCCTGGACCATCAGGGAAGTCCCTACAGTTTGCTTTCTAAACAAGCCAAAAAGGGAGATACGTTAGTGGGTGACCGAGAGTTTAAAACAAATAGTAGCAAAAACCAAGTAAACGTCAAAATCAATAAATAAAAGCTCATCACCACTGCTGGCTCCAAGACGCAGCAGGAGAAAAGGCGTTCTCTGAAAGGCCTGTTTTAATATAGAGCCTGAAGAACCTTAAACATCTGGGACAGGTATTTTGGGAAACTGCGTCGTCAGATGCAGAAATTTCCTTTCTCAGTGTCAGAAGTGAGTAAAGTACCAAGTTAATTTCAGCATTGTGGGTCACCCAATAATTAATTCATTGCACTGGAAATGTACCACCACCACTCCCCCGCCCCCACCACCACGCGCACGCGCGCGCTGGGTCTTGAGAACAACCGCTTCCGTTTGAGGGAACTAGGAGTGACAGGTCACTGTTAACGTTTGTTATACTATTACCACTGCTAATAATAAAGTTGTCAATAGTAGAACCTCTTTGCTAGCCAGAAAGTTTACGAATATGGTTCACCACCCTTCTGCAAATAAGAGAATTAAATAATCTCCATTTAACAGGTGAGAAGATGGAGGCTCAGAGGAGTGAGGTGGTTCCAGAACACTGGCCATTAGTGGCTGAGATCACTGTTCAGGGCTGCTGACTCCAGTCATTCCCTGCTACTCTCAGATTTTTGTCATCTTTCTACTACCTTGAAGCTCCAATCACCTTTACAATTTGTCACATACATAGTCACTTGTACTATTTTTTTTTTTTTAATTTCCTGGCTGCACTGTATAGCATGTGGTAACTTAGTTCCCCCACCAGGAATTGAACCTGCACCCCGTGCAGTGGAAGCGTGGAATCCTAACCACTGGACCACCAAGGAAGTCCCTGTCACTTGTACTTTTATTGACTTAAGAGTCTAATTTAAAATTACCCACTTTAACAAACTTTAAAACACAACTATGTCATAACAATAAGTGGAAAACCAATGTTACTTTGTCCTATGGGAACATACACATTAAAGTGAATATATTGAAAACCAAAATCTGTTATTTAATCTAGCCTAACACCTTTGCCTTCTTGAACTGCTTCTTTTTTTTATTAAAAAGAGAGAAGAGCCAGAAGAGGTAGCCTGGTGTTAAAGACACCTCAGCCCACCCTGAAAGCTGGCTGAGACGAGGAAAAGAAGCACTTCTTTATATGTTGTTGTGGTTCAGTCGCTCAGTGGTGTCTGACTCTTTGCAACCCCATGGACAGCAGCTCACTAGTCTTCCCTGTCCTTCACCATCTCCTTGAGCTTGCTCACACCCATGTCCATCAAGTCAGTGGTGCCATCCAAACACTCCTTCTCTGTAATCCCCTTTTCCTCCTGCCTTCAATCTTTCCCAGCATCAGGGTTTTTTCCAATGAGTTGGCTCTTTGCATCAGGTGGTCAAAGTATTGGAACTTCAGCTTCAGCATCAGTCCTTCCAATGAAAATTTAGGGTTGATTTTCTTTAGGATTGACTGGTTTGCTCTCCTTGCAGTCCAAGGGACTCTCAAGAACATATTTCGAAAACATTAGTTCTTCGGTGGTTAGCCTTCTTTTTGGTCCATACATGACTACTGGAAAAACCATAGCTTTGACTAGACGGACCTTTGTCAACAAAGTGATGTCTCTGCTTTCTAATATGCTATCTAAATTGGTTATAGTTTTTCTTCCAAGGAACAAGTGTCTTTTAATTTCATGGCTGCAGTCACCATCCACAGTGATTTCGCAGCCCAAGAAAATGAAGTCTGTCAATGTTTACATTGTTTCTCCACCTATTTGCCATGAAGTGATGGGACTAGATGCCATGATCTTACTTTTTTAAATGTTGAGTTTTAAGCCAGCTTTTTCTCTCTCCTCTTTCACTTTCATCAAGAGGCTCTTTAGTTCCTCTTTGCTTTCTGCCATAAGGGTGGTGTCATCTGCATATCTGAGATTACTGATGTTTCTCCCAGCAATCTTGATTCCAACTTGTGCTTCATCCAGCCTGGCATTTCACCTGATGTATTCTGCATATAAATTAAATAAACAGGGTAACAATACAGCCTTTACATACTCCCTTCCCAATTTGGAACCAGTCCGTTGTTCTATGTCTGGCTCTAACTGTTGCTTCTTGACCTGCGTACAGGTTTCACAGGAGGCAGATGAGGTGGTCTGGTATTCCCCATCTCTTTAAGAATATTCCACAGTTTGTTGTGATCCACACAGTCAAAGGCTTTGGTGTAGTCAATACAGCAGTAGATGTTTTTCTGGAATGCTCGTGCTTTTTCTATGATCCAACAGTGTTGGCAATTTGATCTCTGCTTCCTCTGCCTTTTCTAAATCCAGCTTGTACATCTGAAAGTTCTCAGTACTGTTGGAGCCTGGCTTGGAGGATTTTTGAGCATGACCTTGGTAGCACGTGAAATGAGTAAAATTTAGGGTAATGTGAACATTCTTTGGCATTGCCCCTCTTTGGAATTTAATGAAAACTGACCTTTTCCAGTCCTATGGCCCTTGCTGAGTTTTCCAAATTTGCTTACATACTGACTGCAGCATTTTAGCAGCAGCATCTTTTAGGATTTGAAATAGTTCAGGTGAAATTCCATCACCTCCATCCACTAGCTTTGTTCATAGTAGTGCTTCCTAAGGCCCACTTGACTTCACACTCCAAGATGTCTGGCTCTAGGTGAGTGATCACACTATCATGGTTATCTGGGTCATTAAGATATTTTTCGTATAGTTCTTCTGTGTATTGTTGCCACCTCTTCTTAATATCTTCTGCTTCTCTTAGGTCCATACCATTTCTGTCCTTTTTTGTATGTCCCGACAGGCATCTTCTGGCCCTGGGAACCATCTGTGTGTCCCTCCTAGAGGCTGTGCAGCACCAGACATCTGTAGACATTCTCATGACTCCTTGCAGGGGGCTCACAGGCCTGAGCCCTTATCTCTGATCCTGCTGCGATCAGGAAATGAGAGCTGCTGCTGCTGACCCAGCAGGACGCTAACTTCTGACCCCCTATTTGTCAACCCTGTTGGTGTTGTGTATCACAGGAACTGCCAATGAGCCTCTGTGCTCCTAATAAAAGAGCCGGGTTGGGAACTCCTGAGACAGGCAACGGTTAAAATCTCAACTATTTTGTCAAGTCCCTGCTTTACCTTCTGGCTGGGGCCAGCAGTTGACTCTCCAGGGATTCAGTTTCTCCAAATAAAATGTAAGTCTCACCTCCTAAGACCTGCTTATTGACAAAAGGAGCGCTGGTTTCTCTGGGAGTAGCCTGATGCACATCCTCTCTTGGAGAATCTGATGAAATTTGCTAAATTAGAAGCTGAAATCACAATGTAACCCTTAAATGAATGAAATTCACTGTGAATTATAGATCCAGGGACTACCCTAGCTGTCCAGTGGTTAAGTCTCTGCTCTTTCAATTCAAGGGGCTTGGGTTTGATCCCTTATTGGGAAACTAAGATTCTACATGCCCTGCAGCATGCCCAGGAAAAAAAAAATTATAGATCAAGTTTGCATTTTTCAAGAAAAAAATCTTAGAAATTGAAGCCACACGGTGCCATGGAGCACTGACTTGAGAAAACCACACCAGGCTCTGTCGGCTTTGCCACTAAGTCACCTTGACCAGACCC